GAAAAACATTTATATAAAGTCAAAACCCCTGTAGGATATTAAATAAAGTTATGTGTATACTATGTGACAATTAATATCTTTAAAAATATTAAAAGATATTTTGTGTGTCAGATTTCATGTCAGTATAAAATAGATGAAGACATTAGTTATGAATGTAATTTTAACTAAAAAAATAGAGAAAATAAGAAAATAAAGATTCTTATATGCAAGTATATTACTAATGTCTGTGGACAATCCTGGCTCTGAAATAATATAACCAAGTCAAAATTATCTCAGAACTAAAGTATCAGGAATACGATGTCTCAGAGTGATTAAAAGAATAAAGTTTGGAATTTGAATTTATTTGACATCTGATCCCATTTCTTACAAACATTGTGGCTTTTCATTAAAGATTTCACTTCAGTTTCCCCCTTTTCAAAATTATTTATTTTAACAAAATTATAGTAAATAAATAACATATTATATTAAGAAAGCTGAGCATGGAGTAAAGCAATTAGTAAACTCAATCAATTGTTATTGTTATTATTAATCAGGTCAATGGAATTATAAAGTCTACTGACCTTTGGTATTTGTAAAAGGTATGCACAAGGTAATTTACCATGCTGCTAAATTAGGTTCTAATTAGTTTGGGTTCTACTTATCCATATAAACCATAAAAAATGTATTTTTCACTTATGTCTTCCTCTTAAACAGCATCCCATTGAAAAATTAAGCAAGGTGATCTTGTTTTTACATTCTCTGGGTAACCGACTCCTAAAGAGACATCTTCCTCTTCTCTATTTTTAGCCTTTTAATAGTTTAACAAAAATATTTCTCTATTATAAGTCAGGATGGGAAGGTAAGCTGAAGAACAGTATGAAAAATCCCATTTGGGCTACTTCCTTAGTTAGTGTCTGCAATTCAAAAACTATTCTACAGGACTATGCTCCAAACTGATTAGCTTCAGGGTGTGCTATTGTTGGAGACTTTCCTTTTCTATGTTAAATATGTATGCAATATTAAAACTTTTGCCATTGTGGCACATGGCTTTTAGAAGAAAAATGCCTATTTTTAAAATGTGTGAAGTAGGTCTGGTATCCTGCATTGAGGACTTAACAGAAAATGTGAGGATTTCTGGATAATTACTACTGGACTGCCTGGGCTTCAAAGAAATGTACCTACAGAGTGGTAAAAAGACTGCTGCTTACATGAATATAAGTGCAAGGGAGTGTGAATATTTTGTGTATCTGAAGGGAAGGAGCTGGAGGGAGAACAGGCCAGTGAGGTCGGGCAGCCTAGTCTGTGTACCATGAAAGGGCCGCAGTGGTGCATCTGGTGCTACATAGTCCAGAAAGTAAGCTCAAGCAGTCCTTTTCTCAAGTTATAATAGGCAAGGTGCCCATGTCCTGAAAATAATGAAGCTGTGGCCAGGGGAAGGGGGGAGGTGGAGGGTGCGCAGGGACACAGCTCTCAGAAACAACCACCACCTTCCCCAAGCTGCTAGATCCACCAGAGACTAATTAAAATCCAGTACACTTAATCTTTTCATTGTTGCTTTCTTTGGGCAGGGCAATCAAACCATAATCTATGACTGCGATTTTCAACCATTTTCATCTCCTGGCACACACAATCTCATTACTAATTCTGCAGCACACCAAAAAGTATATTACATTTTTTTTGCCGACCTGACAAAAACAGGTGTGATTTTGATTCATTCACACCGAACGCCTATTGCTGTGTTGGCTGTTGTCATTTTTTTTCTTTGACAGTCTAAGGGGGACGAGGTCAGAGGCTCCGAGTAGGTAGTCAGGTATGTTGCATGTTTTAAAAATTCTTGCAGCACACCAGCTGAAAATCGCTGATCTATGAACTTGCCCAGAGACTGTTTTGACTACCAATAGTAGACGAACAGAAAGAAGGCTTCCCATTGTTGAAATAATTGTATGTGTTTTTTAAATTGATTTTTTAGAGAGAGGAAGGGAGAAGGAAAGAGAGAACACAGATCTGCTGCCCCCTGCAGGCACCCTCGTGGGGACCAGCCCACATGCTGGCTTCCTATTACAGAACATAAGAGGATAACTAGGCAGTGTTCTGGTCATACCACATTTGCTTCGATTATAGTTTTTTTTAAATTTATCTTTACCGACAACTCTTCCATGTAAATATATATTTTTAAACAAAGTGTTCACAGATTAAATCTACTTGGAAAATACCATTGACTTGGAAGATCTTGTTGACATTTATAAAGTACTGAATTTCAGGAATAAAAAAAAAAAAGTCAAATAAGAGGTAACAAAACAGAATCGTAAAAGCTTTCCAACACATTGACAACACGTTCAAGTTGGATTCAAGTTTGTTTGACATAGTAACACAAGTTGGAAAACAGAGCCATGCTACCTACATACAGAGCATTGACAAAATATGTGGAATTTTGTGTGTGTGTGTGTGTGTGTGTCTGTGTGTGTGTGTGTTTGTATTGTTAATCCTCACCCAAAGGTATTTTTTTCCACTGATTTTTAGAGAGAGTGGAAGGAAGAGAAGGAGGGGACAGGGGAGGGAAGGAGGGAAAGGGAGAGAGAAGGAGAGAGAGATCTATGTGAGAGAGACACACTGATTGGTTGCCTCCTGCACATGCACCAACTGGGCCTGGGATCAAACCTCAAACCTTCAGGTACAGGGACCCAAGCTCCAACCACTGAGCTACACCAGCCAGGGCCACAAAAAAATGTTTTGACTCAGAATTTCTATATCCATCCATTTTGTTTTTCTAATGTAAATTCAATAGAAAGATAAAGTAATAAGATTATTGCCTTGTTGACATACCAACAAACAACAGGTGATAAAATATTTGAAACAAAATAAGTGGGTGAAATAATATTTTTTATAACAAAAAACATAGTCATAGAGCTCAGTATTGTCAGAATAGTTGCTATAATATTTACAAAATATGCCTGGTCGGTGTAGCTCAGTGGTTGAGTGGCGATCCATGCACCAAAGTCGCGGGTTCAATTCCCGGTCATGGCACATGCCCAGGTTGTGGGCCCAATCCCCAGGGGGGGCATGCAGGAGGCAGCCAATTGATGTTTCTATCTCTCCTTCTCCCTTCTTTCTCTCTAAAATCAATAAAAAATAAAAATAAAAAAGTTACAAAATATAATTGCAAATATCAAATATTTGCAATAAAGAACAAAATAGTGGGAGTAAAAAAAAAAAATCTAAATCTAAATCCAGATAATTTCTAAAAGGTCTTGCAATTAATAGGGTAAATTGGATTATAAAGAAGTCAAATTATGTTTAATTTTCAAAAGCTACCTATACACACCATTTGGTATCTATTATATGTAGAGAGTATTGTATGTTTAATATCTTTAAAAAATTGATAGGAAGAAAACAACATGCACTTTTAAAAACATTAAAGAAGAATCAAAATAAATGAATAAAATATATTGATAGGTGAAATTTATGTTATGAAAAGAAACATACATGTACTTAAAAATTCCTTTTAAACAACAAATAATCTCACAGTGAATAAAAAAAAGGTAATTTATATTAGTCCTTGTGCTTAATCTTGTGCCTAAACAAACTTTAATTAGAATTACTTTTAACAGCAAACACTTAGAAACACTAAGAGCATGCCCTGGCTGGTTTGGCTCAGCAGTAGAGTGTCGGCCCGTGGACCAATGAGTTGCGGGTTCGATTCTGGCCAAGGGCACGTACCATGGTTGCAGTTTATCCCTGGCCCTGGTCAGGGTAGTCCAGGAGGCAACCAGTCGATGTGTCCCTCTCACATCAATGCTTCTCTCTCTCTTCCCCTTTATCTCTGTCCCACTCTATCTGAAGATAAATAGGAAAATATCCTTGGGTGAGGATTAAAAAAAAAGAAACACTAAGTCTGGTACTGCAGACTTAAATATATTAACTTACTTTATTCTCAAATGACATTTTGGGTTAGTAATCTTACCCCCATTTTATAGGTGAGAAAATGCTTGCCCAGCCATCTAAAGATTTGCCTATGGAAACAATATTACTAATATTTAGATTTGAACTTAGGCCATTTCGCTCCAGAACCCTGGATACACTCCTGACACCCAGGACCCTCTAGCCTTTCGAATTAAGGGGAACCCGAGAAACATGCTTTTAAAAGTGGCATGTGGTTCCTTCTCCTTCCCACTTTATGTGAGAAGACAGGGTCTGAGGGGGCACTGAGAGTAAGCAGATTGGAGAATGGGTAACATCGAAGACCAGAGCTATGACTGAACAAAGACCCTGCTGGCCACAGCTAGTCCTCGTGGATGACTGGGCTGTCCTTAGGAAAATTCATAGAATTCTCAGGCTCTGCCTTGGTTACATACAGGTTTCTGAGAAACATCAATGGTACAAGCTTCCTCCCCTGCATCTTCCCTAACTCCCTCCCTTTCTCACAGTGAAGGCTTTGCAATCAGATTGTCCATTTAGTGCTTTTCTACTTCTTTGGATCTTTTGATTATTCCTTTCCCCAACACATCTTTTTACCTTGAGCCCACAGTATATTAGGAAGGAGGTATCTCTGACCTATGCCCCTAAGGTAAGGCAGAGAGAGAGAGTGAGAGAGACTTAAAAACATAAGATGTGATAAGGACCTGAGGTCTAAAATATACACCTCATTTCCTTTATCAGTTCGTGTGTTTGTGTAAGAATGTTTGCATGTGTGCACTTTTGCTACATAGTTTTGATTTTTTAAGAATATATCTAATACTTTTTAAGTTGCCGATGCATTTGGGAAGGCAGAATTACTTACTAAACAACGGACTAGCAGGGATCTCCATGGATGCAGACTCTCCTACAAGTAGTGAGGCCATCTGAACATACACAGCTCATGAAAATGAGGTTTCTTCTTATACACAAATCAGAGTTTACCACAGACTCTTAAATGACATGTAAATGAAACAGTACCATATTAGCTCCTTTTTTTAAAAAAAACGGGATACATAAGATAGATAAGAACACGGTGTTTGAACAGTGGTTCACATGCTTGCACTTACAGCCCTCGTAGATGTCGGTGGGAATGTGCACTGCTGCATGCTGATAGGAGATTTGTCGTCCAAAATTCGCATCATGGATAAAAACTGGTTTTATCCTCTGGCTGCCTGGCTCACTGTCATTCTTTTCAGTCTATACAGGGGAAGACAGACAACAAACAGAATATTACAACTTATGCTAACACAGATGTTCTCACATCATGTCATCTGCCTTATGCATATTCTTCAAAAAAGGAACTAGAAGAATATTTTTCAGTGTAGTCCCACAATGACATCAGATGTATTCACACTATAGCCTGACTTCTCTCCTAACCTCCTCAGTGGTGGAGTCACTTCTCAGGATCATCCTGACAGCACCAGAGGCTCCCAGCATCCATACTTATTAACATGTACATTTAAAGAATAGGATGAGTGTCTTACAATGCAACCAGATTGAAACTATCCCCTTAGAAAAAACCATGCTTTTATCTTACCAAATGTATGTTATGCAGTTGAGGAGAATTCTGGGTTTGACAACTAATGGTCCGTGTGACTGAAAAGAGAGCGATGAGGGTTTATTTTATGTCAGGCTCCTTGACTCAGCATGGTTCCCAGGTGAATGAAATTTTGTTTTAAAAAAGAACGTATAATAAAAGAGATTGATTGTAACTCTAAGTACAATCAACTCCTAACTTTAAACAATTTGTCTCCCAAGGTAGGAGCCAAAATCCAATCAATAATGATTCAGGAAGATCCCACAGGAGTTTAAGGTTGAACATGAATTTTCTTCCCCTTTGAACTCTGCATTAGATACTGAATTAGATACCTGTTGCCCTCCCCAGGCAAGAAATTAAGAATCTCACTCATTTATTCAAAATGAATCTCTAAAACAGTTTTTTTCCCATTAATTATGTTAAAAAATTTTTTCAGTTCAAATATAGTTATGTTAACTCTTCCCTAATTATTTTTCATTAAATTCAGAAGTGTATTATTAACTCATTCATTTTAGAAACTAATGTTTTTCATATTCCCAAGTTAATACAAAACTGAGAAAAAAAATCACAACATTGAACTATCTCAGCAGCACACTGCAGTCGTGCACCTGCCCAGCATCAGTGGGCAACCAGATCTCAGAGGGGCTGGAAGAATATGCAGCAAACATCAAGTCAGCAGGTCTATGAAGAAGCGACAGTGCCCTGGCCAGTTTGGCTGAGCAGTGACATCATCAGCTCGTAGACTCAAGGGTCTCGGGTTTGAGTCCCGGTCAAGGGCACATACCTGGGTTGCAGGTTCATTCCCTGGCCCTAGTTGGGGTTGTGCGGGGAGGCAACCAGCCGATGTGTCTCTGTCACATCAATGTCTCTCTCTCTCTCTCTCTCTCTCTCCCTCCCTCCCTCCCTCCCTCGTTTCCACTCTATCTAAAAATCGATGGAAAAGTATCCTTTGGTGGAGATTAACAACAACAAAAAAGTGACAGTGTTCAACTTTTCATATGGCTCTGAAAATTTATACGGCCAGATAACACATCAGCATCCTGAGATATGTTGATACCACACACACACACACACACACACGTACTTTTTCTCTAGGGAATTTGCCACATCAAAAAGATTATTTATACACAAATATGAGAAAGGTGGCTTTTTGTTTTCTTTAACAGTGGCTTCTAAAGCTGTAGGTCCAACCCATCCTTAGGTAGTATAATCAATATAATAGATCATGACCAAATCATTTTTAAATAAAACATAAAGAAAAAAAATATGAAAATACACTCTACATAAGGGAGAGAACTATATTGTGAAATTTGTGGTTTAGTTAGATATGACAGGGTGTATGCAAATACATGTGGGTATGTGTGATTTGTCATTGATAAAAATATCTGAAAACAGATCACTATTTTTTTTTACTTATATGAAAGTCACAAAGATATAATTGCTCCCCCATTAACAAATTGAATATACAAAATGACGAAATAGTAGTGTTGAAAGTCTAAAATTTAGCAACATACCTACATGCATAAATCACAAATTACAGTCTTCTAAAACAGAGGTTAAGTGTGTGTCACGTGAAGGACAAGAAAAGAGTGATGAAGATTACAAGGAAGAGAAGCAGCAGAGCGAAATCAAATGCTGAACCCAATACACCTGCCTTGACTGCGATTGTTCATAAAGGAAAGAATGAAAATGATAACCGAGTTCATCTTTGGATTCAACTGTGAATTTTAATACACTTTAAAACTCACCCCCCATTCTAAGGGTGTCTATTCCCAGGCACTACTGACTTGAATAAGGCAAAGGCAGATGAAAACAAAATACTTCCATTAATAACATGAATGTAAAGAGGGTTCCAACTAGTAAGATGATGTCGTTATTCTTCTCAGCTGAAAACTTTCTGAATTAGTGAAAAATCTCAACATTTACTTTAAAGCAGTGGTTTCTCAATGTGTGGTCCTCTGAGACGCAGCGTCCATGGGAACTTGTTAGAACGCAGGCTCTGGGGCACCACCTAGGACCTACCTCGTCAACCAGACCATGGAGGGGCTGAGCAGGCTGTAGTTTAATAAACCCTCCAGGTGATTCTGATAAACACTAAAACTGGAAGTCCAGTGCTTTAAAGTATCAGTAGTTTAAACTAGGCATACATTTTTATTTAGTAGAACTACTCATGAAAAAATTAGGATTGATTAGTAGTAAGCATATTAATGGATACCTAAAATTGTCATGTATAAGCCAGTTTTAGTATTACCATGCATGCAAATGGTAATGTGACAAGTAATATCTGTCAAAGGATGTTTCAAAGACAACAGGCCCGTCCGGTTGGTGTGGCTCAATGGCTGAGCATCGACCCATGCACCATGAGGTCACCAGTTTGATTCCTGGTCGGGGCACATGCCCAGATTGCAGGCCGGATCCCCAGTGGGGGGCATGCAGGAGGTGGCCAATCAATGTGTTCTCTCATCAATGTTTCCCTCTATCTCCCTCTCCCTTCCTCTCTCTCTCTAAAATCAATAAAGAAAAAAATAATAATAATAAAAGACAACAGGCCCTCACGATACTCTAGGGGTTAGTTCCATACTGAAATAAATTGGGAAAATGCTGCCTGTTAGATTCTTCGATAAAGAGAATATAACGAAGTGCACTGGCATATCAAAGGCTCTCAGGTAAGCTTCACTAAAGGAAAGTGTTTAGCACACTGTTCTCAAGTTTACACAACCCTGAAACTTTTTTTAAAAAAACAATACCTTTTACAAAAACATAATAATAAATAAATAAAAATCATTAAAAAAAATATTTAGTTGGTAGTGCAAAGAGAAGAATTTACTTACATTAACGTTTATAGAAATGCCATTTAATATCTAAATCTGGAAAAAAATTAATTGCCCAACAATAGTAAAATGGTCACAATAATGATGGATACAATATAAAAGAGTATTACATGAGAATATATATATGTTATATTTGTTTAAAATTATTTAAAGTTTAAAAAGTAAATGTTGTCCAGCTGGTGTGGCTCAATGGTTGAGCGTCAAACCATACACCAAGAGGTTGCTGGTTCAATTCCCGGTCAGGACACATGCTCGGGTTGTGGGCCCGATCCCCAGTGAGGGGCATGCAGGAGGTGGCCAATCGATGTTCTCTCTCATCGATGTTTCTGTTTCTCTCTCCCTCTCACTTCCTCTCTCTGTAGAATCAATAAAAAAAAAAAAATTTTTTTGAAGTAAATATTTAGAAAAACAAAAAAAAGGTCTATTTATTTTGAGAGGAAGAAGAGGTAAATGGATGTATGCCTGGATGAGTATATAGTAAATGTTATCAGCATTATTATTGGTTTTGCAGTTATGAGATATAAATGTACTTATGTTTATGTTCTTTTGCTTTTTACAATAATACAAGGAGTAGGTATTATATTTTAATCAGAAAATGTATTAATTTTTCTTTGAAGTCCTTTCTGGAGTGCAAGTAAGCATTATACGATTATCATACTAAGGTGAAAATTGTTTATATTTCCTCTGAATTCTCTCACACCTAAAAATTACAATTTTAAGTATACTGATTTATTTTAATACAGTTTATAGAGATTCTTTCACTTATAAATCATCACATAGGGCTTTTAGAAACAATGTTAAAATAATAATGTACTTCTTAACTTGTATAATCATGTATTAAGACTAGTTTTAATGTGCAGTTGCTAAATATATTAAGGAAAACTAACTGCTGTTCTCCATGGTACTCCATTTTATAGTCTCCATAAGTTGAAATAATTTCATGAAAATATCCAAATTTTTCAATGAAATCAGTTATTTTCTTAAACTTATTAAATTATTGTTTCTGATGCTATTATGACCCATATCTTTATCTATATTAATATATTATATCATTATATTGTATAATTAAATACAGCAAATATTAGATGCAAAGAAATTGACGTGAGAAAAAATAATTTGGGGAAAAGCTACTTAATATACATTGTTTAATGTGTTAATTAAAAAATTAAATAGCCCTGGCTGGTTCGCTAAATGGTTAGAGCATCAGCTTGCAGACCAAAGGGTCTTGGGTTCAATTCCCAGCCTGGGTTGCAGGTTCAATCCCTCTCCCCAGCTGGGGTTGTGTGGGAGGCAAGCAATTGATGTGTCTCTTTCACATCTATGCTTCTTGCACTCGCTCTCTCTCTTTCCCCCCTTTCCCCCTTCCTCCATCTCTTCCCCCCACTCCCTCTAAAAATCAATGGAAAAATATCTCAGGTGAGGATTAACAAAAAAGTAAAACAAAAAATAAATTAATGTAAGTACTTCCCCTGAAATTAGGATTTCCTTGCTTATTGTTTTTCATTTTAATATTTCCCCAAAAATATCTTTTCTGAATTCTCCAGACCATCCTATACAAAAGTGTACAAGGAAACTGAACAGACTGATTCTCAAATGTATTCCAATGCATTTGGGGAAACACAAAAATGAAACCTGAGAAACAAGTTTCTCAGACTATTCGTCTCAAAACTTCAGTTATTAAATAATAGATGAGATCACGCAGAGAAAGAGGTGCAGGCCAATGTTGGATGGGTAGGTCATTCAATTTTACAAGCAGTAGGTATTAGCGAATTTAATTTGGAAAGTCACAATGATAAGCCTGTGACAAGTCTGTAAATACAGACTTTGTG